ATTGCTTAAATTGTCCAACAAAGTGCGAAGATCAGATCTTCATTTAATTTCAAACACCGCACTGCATAAAACATTCATAATGTGGAATTAAATAAACTATAACCATTTAAATATAAGCTCTTTGACTCTCAAAGCGAGGCGAATATTCAATAAATACCTGTCTTCTATAATATTTTCGTCAGAATGTGATTAGTATTAGGATAAAACCATTTTAATGTTTGAGGTTCACAACAGTTAGAATTTTTTGAGTTTTTGACCCATTTGGGATTGATTTCATTATCGCCAACGAATAACCATATGTAGTAAACATGATTAAAAAGTGCATTACATGTGTTTCGCTTGTTCTATGAATTCATAAGCGTAACACTTATTATCTCAAGATACCGAAGGTGGGGTGTGTGCAAAAACGTGTTCGATTACAAATTTTCGTCTCTACAACATGTCCATGAAATTTCACTTATTTTTTACGACATGTTTACGGACAAAATTTAGTTTAAATGACCATCTTCCTTGTAGCAACAAGTTCAACCTGTCATAAAAGCTATTTTCCTCCGGCTATGTGGCCGTTTTACTTCACTCAGCATGGAGACTTTTAAAGCTTTTGTTTATACACGCATCAGGTCATTCCATGTTACCTCACCTTTTAATTGCTCAACATGATATGAAAAGGGAAAATATCGCTGTTTAGAAGACAGAAAGAGCAGAAAATTTTTCTTTGCCAATCTTACCTGAAAAGCTTGCTGTGTTGCCATCCTCTGCAAACGAATCATTTGAAAATTTTGAAGCAATTCAATTAACATGCTAAAAAATTACATGTATCAAATTGTTTTCATGATTAGAAGAATGACAAAATGAATATTATTTGGTAGACGAACAATTGAAATTAAAAGCAACTGCCCTTAAGGTCATAACTCTCACAACTTTGCGATTTTTTTTACATAACAAAGATTTTGGCTGTTTTAATTTTAGTCAAAATATTAAGACAAAATCGTAACCGAGTGAAGGAACTAAGTCCATTGTAATATATATGTCAAAACCCACGCTTTTAGAACAAAAAGAATGTATGCAAAAATTAAAAAAGTTAATTGGCCCAAAGTTAATTACAATAGTGCAAGACATTTGACCCTCTTAACTTGTAAATTCAATTTATTTCTCAGGCTAACTATTGTTGGGGAAACAACGAAGGAAACCGAAAAAATAAATTAGTAAATTATCAGGAGGTGTTGGGGAGACAGCTGCAGTTATATTATTATTAGATGAAATTATGACGACCAATTTAGCTTCTTTGTTACTTGATGATGATGTAATGTTCTCATTGATGATCAGTTCTGAACTTTTCCTCGTGTTATTTGATGACGAATTTGTTTTGGTTTTAACGCTGGATGACGAGGAGATTCTTGCCAAGTGAAATAGAAACGATGTCAATTGGAACCAATAATACTACGGTAAGATTTGGTGAAACAGTTAGTTCGACGTTTATTGCTGTTTGACCCAGAAGTAGCAAAAAGACAAAGGGATGAAACTTTGTGAAGAAATAGGCTTGTCAAACACGTACGCTGTTACAAGAAGATATGGAAATTACGTGAAACATGTCAAAACAGCTTACCAATGAGAGGTTCGCATTCATTGCAATTATTTTTCTCGGATACAATAGGGACACTTGAATCAATTGGATATCCAGCAATGACAAAAAGTATTTCAAAGAACATGATCTTCAAATAGGCTGGCATCTTCTACATGAATAAAAATCGCACTTAACAGCTGTTTATTAAGATATTTCTGTTGAATTTTCCTAAAAAAAAATAAACCTACAAAACAGTGGGAGTATAAACTTTTTCAATGTAAGTATTGGAAATATATAAAGTTATGGCAAATTTGCTTTGACATTTAGCTTTTCACAACAGCTTTTGACATTTTTACGCAAAACTTGTACGTCTTCAACTGTTGATAGGCAATAAACTCAATTAAAAAGACCGAAGTGAGAAAATCGAAAAACTCAATCAATACAAATACAAAAACAAAGATACACTTTAAAAAATGAAATATAAAATTCTTACCAAATATTTTGTTTAAGATGGTTAAATTCATGTCACTTGCAGAATATGCATCGAAGAATTCACTCACCAACAATTGAAATATCCTTAATCATTATGGCTGATATCAATAAGAACAATATTCATGGAAGATATATTAGTCGTTACTCATAGATACCAACTTCTCGACGACATATAATACAAAATAAAACAAATTCCGAATACGGACATCCGTTTTTTTTATATTCAAGATGATACAAGAGTTTGGACACATACTATGTGTCTCAACTCTTTTGTTATCTTTATTATCAAGAAAACAGGATGTCTATAGTGGGAACTTTTTTATTTTGTATTATTTAAAATTCTCGGCGACATATTGTTTGATTACGCAATGATATATGAGACTGTTCAAAGCTATATGCACTTAATAAGTGTATGTATTGGCAATTTACTGTTGCGATAAATGAGCGCAAACATAAAAAAGCAAACTATATATTATCGTGAGTTAAGCTACGCAAACGTAAACATTAACTTTATATCCAATTTTTGCTAATACCTCATATAATTCATAGTGACACATGATATAACTTACTGAAAAAGGATTCCATAGTTTAGGAGTACATTTTTAAATTGTAGCTACATGGAGCGTTCTTCAAAATGTTGAAAATTCGTATCTTTAGATACAAAGACATATTCAGAGAATTAGAATTCGTGTTCTGGCTCTTTGCTTTAAAGTTGAAACACGTACGGTGTCATAAAAAACGGATATCGTGACGAGAATATCTCATGTCGAGTCAATATATGCAGTTTATAAAAAAATTGTGTCGTCTTTCATCCACGTGGGCTTGTAACTAAGAGCATGCAGGGTAACGAACTAGTATGCCAAAGGAGAGCGCCAAATATTTTTTAAGCTACATTTTTTTCATTTAACCTTTACGAAATTCACGTTCCGTTTCTCTTACAAAGGCTTTTGAATAGTATTTGTGTGATATTCATATAATGAATCTCATATTCATGAGATATATTATTGTCGTATGCAGATATAAACTGATCTATATAGGCTGTTGCTTACTTTGGTACAGAGAATGACTGCGATAGTTCGCAAACAATCCAGCCAGTTTCACATCCTAGGGGTTTAGATTCCAAAAGTAACTGACATCAATTATATATCTGGTCTCGCCCAAATAATACAAAAAAATACATACATTGTGCTTTCGTTTAGTCCATCTCAGTTTGTAAATATGCATTGTCCATCTAACAATCTAGTTACTGTGCTAAGGTGAGGAGACTGTAAGGCAGAACAAATATATTTTTCTTTTGTTGATGACGATTTAACAGAACGTGAAAAATGACGACCATAAATAACTACGTGTTAATTATGAGTCAACTATGATAAAAAAAAGTAAAGTGAAGTATTTGCTATGTGCGATGCATTTGCATTTAAATAAACATTAGTAAACAGCAACTGCGATAACTATAAAAAACACCATGGTATGTCGACATTGTCTGATCAGTCGGAAATACAAAAATAAGTTTAATATATTGCTTGTGTGTGCGACGTTTATACTATTCAAAAAACGTTTGTGAGATTTTCTTAGGATGTCGCGCCACTTTCTTCTTTTTCAACTGGCAAGCAACTTTGCACACGATACACACATGATGCACGCAAATTTTTATATATAGCAAACGTGTATCACTTAAAATATGTTAATGACTACAGGACTACCGCTAAAGCTGTCGATACGTCATTCAACAGATGTTCAATTGCTCTTCTTCTCAGAACTCTGCTATAATCTGAACCCTCTAGATTTACAAACATCCAACGGCAATCATGATTTTTAATTAGTTGTCTTAAAAGCTTATCTCTGAGTCAGTTCAACTTTAGTGAACACGTAACATTGCCTAGACGTATACCCTCAAATGTTTTTTTATAATGTTAAATATTTTCAATGATTTCTACACAGAAGTTGTCTGAGTATACATACTGATGACAATTTAAGATTGAAAGTTGAATATTGGCTTAATTGCTTGTGGAAAAAATGCACAGATGACTTATTTTCAACCTAATAAGAACTTCTTTTTACTTACCAGCATGTGATTCTAGAAAATGCTAAATACAAATTCAATTACAGAATATCACATAGCGCCAAAACTTAAAAGAATTTTATTAAAAATGTTTAATAGAAACGCCTTAAATCGTTATATACTAACACGCACAAATGAGCAGTATATAACAATTGAAGTTTAACTAATTCGCAAAAAATTCCAAAGCATGCAAAAATAGTAAGGAAAGTGCGCATTATCTTTTGTTATTTTGTTTCTGAATTTTGTTTTTCTTGTGATTGTTTATAAGATTATAGTTCCTAACAAGATGTTGAAATAAAGAAAACGTTAACTGCATTAATTTCAAACAACATTGATTTTACAGCATTGTTGAATCTTGATTGATTTCCAGCGACGAGAATGAGAACGCTACATGGAACTCCAACTAAGCAAACACCACATCAAATTCCTACGAAATATCAAAATGTAAGAAAGGCAACTTAAAAATCTAAAATAAATGTTTTTGAAACGGTGAAATATACTCGTTGTTGTCAGAACAAAACTTGTCTAAGCATGTAAAGTTTACAATAAAAGATAAGTTGACAACGATTATAAATGAAACAATAATTGGCATTTCTGCTGACTTGAAAGAATTCACAGATGACTGATGATCCAATAATTCGGTTTATTTTTGCCAGCAGGTAACTACATAGTTTACTAAATATAAAATACATTACACAATATAGCAAAGCATTAAAAAATGAAAGGAATTTTCTATTAACTATCATCAAAAATGTCTAGATTTCATTTGATATTGAAGGTTAAAAACAACGCCATCAAGCTGATATAAAACCTAACATTAATAAATGGATTTGATTGTAAAGCTGGATTTGATTATAAAGATTTCATTCAATGTTGCGTGAATCCAATAATCAATCTTTTACCACCCATCGATTAGTAAGAAATATTTTCAAGCCAATGTAATTGTCGTGAAAGGTGATATGAAATTTAAATTGGAAGCTATGGTTCATTTTGCCTAACCTTGGATCACAGAATTACTGCTTCAAGGGCTCATGTCATACAACATAACTTCAATAACCTCACAAGCAAAATGTTATTGGAGCAGTTAATACACTCTTGGGTTCTGCCTTTATGTTCTTGGATAGCTGAATGTTGTGTTTATTGTAAATGTGATAAGCAGAGTTCCTCGCAAGATAATGAAAATATGAACATCACATCATACTCCAATATAGGGAATGCTACATCGGATTCTAACGACGATAACACCACGTCAAACTCAAATATAAGGAATGCTACATCTGATTCTAATGACGATAACACCACATCAAATTCCAATGATGCAAATGCATCATCAATTTTTAAAAAATTTAAATTTTTTTTCGGCTCATCTGTTGTACCAACTAGTTGTTTACTCATCTTTGCCGTCTTAATCACTGTGATTTGTGGACAAATTGTTTATTTCGATCAGCTTACAACCGAGCGATGTGTGGGTGCTGAACGCCTTTTAACCAATTATTCAGCAACAACTTCTGTTCTTCTAGCACGATTAACAGGAGAATCATGCGAATTCATCTTTCTTACTTTATGGTACCCTCTCACTATGGTGTTGCTGTTGGGACGGGAAAAAGCTCACATAAACAATCTTATTATTTGTGTTATCACGAGTCTTTTTGGTGTGCTTTACAAGATATGCTTGTACAAAATCTTTGATGGTTATATTACTGAATGGTGGAAAAGATTAATTACAGCTGGTATAGTGCTAATTGGCATTATCATTAGTTGTCTTTGTAATACATCATATAAGGCATCGTCGAAAGTTAAAAAAATTTGGAATCTTCGGAAAAATATGTTGTTAACAATTGGACTGATTTTTTGTTCTGCTACACTGTTCGCTTTTGTTTATGGAGAACTTTTTGTCCCCTGGTTTAATAATCAGTCAAGTAACTTTTTAAAAATCTTGGTTGCTGCTATGGTTCCTTTAATAGCAACTATTCCAGTGGCCATAAGTAAATACATAGTGCTTGTTCCTCTTAAAAATATCATCGACGTTAATCCTTCACGATCATATATTTTGGTGTATTTTAATCACGTGGTACCCATTGCTCTTTATCGTGTCATGCAATCTGAAATAAAAAATTTTGGGTTCTTTGTACTGTTTTCTTTTTTACAAGGACTTATCGATATTTTTACAAAGGTGAGTACAAAATGCTATTTTGATGATGTTTACCGACCGTGCTAAACTTAAACGAAATTGTTTTGCTTGCGATGAGAAAAGGAAAGTGAGTTTATTGATTTTGAGAGGAAGAAAAGCGTTGTATGTAAAAAATGCAGCTCGTTTAAAAAGCTCACTGATAAAATTCATTACTTTTGTTAAAGGCGAACTTCCGACAACCATCCAAAAAATTTTGCAAGCACCCCAAAATTTTAATTTCATGTGTATGAAGATTACAAAAATCAGACCAGCTTTTCCGTCAGACTTTTACACATTTCGAAATGTATGCATTTCTCAATATATAGTTACGTTAATATGTTTAAATTTCACGTTGTACGTCTTTCATTAACATGCACCTAGTAGTGTAAATAGAACAGTACTCACAAATGATGAAAGTGTTCAGTAATTAATAAATATACGAAAGGAAAATCAATATACTAAATGCTCAGCAGCAAAATACTGTAGCTTTAATGTCAGAACCGAACCTTAACACTGCCCGTTACTCTAACTAGAAATTGTTTTTCTATGGCTTTTCTTTTAAATACAAAAGATCAAAAGGAGTCTGATGAGCATGAGGCAGCTCCACGTGATGTAGGAGATCTTTGATTTTTTTGATGCAGAAGAAATTGACTGCTCAATTTCAAAACATCACAACGTTGCTAAGACATATTTTAACATTGCCTTTTTTTCCGCACACGAAGAAAGGTCATTCAGTTGCTCAAAGCGTGTCAAAACTTATTTGTGTGTAGCACAATGAGGGTAAATCGATTATCCAACCTTGAATGTATCGCTGTTTAAGCTGGTATTGAGAATTTTTAACCCTGTAGCAATTGATTATATCAAATTTGATATAAAATTTGACAAAAAATTTGAAATAAAATTTGTTAAATTTTTTATATTGATTATATCAAATTTTTGTATGTGTCTTGCAAGGCGGATCTAGGATTTTTCAAACATCAGTTATAAAACGTCGGAGGCGCTCTGCACCTGGGGGGATCTGAGGCATTTTTCATTAAGAAATTTTGAATTTCTGAGCCTTGAAAATGCCATTTTCGGCGTTTTAGAGCAATACAAAATGTATTTTGTGTGCATCATTTTTGGGTAAAAACAACACATTTTGCATATATTTTTTTTTAAAAAAAATGAAGTTTATAATACTTGAATGTTTTGCCAAATATATGGCTCATTAGCATGTCTAGGAACGTAAAATTTATTTTACAATAATGCTATTCAAAAACAGATATAGTCTTTAAAAATTTCTACTAAGTTGTCAGGCATTGACCCCCCTAGAGACTCCCATTCAAACCTCTATGTAATGAGTTAAGTTAGAAATTTCGTACTACAAGGGACAGTTCATACATATAAAAAAACTAAGACTTTAAACCATGCAAGTTTATTGTAACCCTTTACCCATCTCCACTTACAGCGCTAGGAAATACACCATTCGAGAAAAAACTCAAAACTTTTTTCTGTCAAAGATTAAGCAAAGATTATCAGAGTGAAAATTTGCAATCCTTAATGCCATTAATGTTTATTAGGCATTTCACTAGACTATTATCTCCTATACGTTTATGTAAGATGCGCTATATAGCAATTACCAGTATCATTGTATTTGCCAATATAAAGAGAATGTAACTAACATGCCTTTAATCATATAATTACATGAATGTTAAAATTGGTTCATGTGTCATGCTTACTGGTTACGACAAATAACTTTTCCTATAATCAAAACTAGTTTAAATGTAAATCTGAAATAATTTAGTTTGGAAATTTTAATGACCATAAAAAAATTACCTAGTGATCATGAAAAATAGTTTGCTATTTTGCCAAATTTCAAGGATTATCTGCATACATAGGAACACATTTTTACGTTATAGAAAATGCTTTTCAGACATCAGTAGCCCTTTGCAATTTATGGCAAATAATCTGGTGTGAGTCGTAGATCAACACACCTTGACATCTCTACACGAGGCGTTCAGTTAGAAAAGGGGACAATATGTGACGTGGGACAACATTTCATGCATGTGAAATACTCAGGTTGAATAGCATTCCAGTCAAATTGTCAAAATGAAAAGGTTCTTGTATCAGGAAATATTCAAAATCAGAGGTTATAGTAAACACTTTCTCGTGTAATCAATGTTAATTTTTTCAAATCTTAAACAATGTGTAGTATAACTGTCCAATGATGGAATGATCAATGAAAATAAAGTGAAAAGCCCCAAATATTTGTTTATAATAAAGTAAATAATAGTATGGCGCCTTATGGCTACAGATTTTTGTCCATTGAAATATATTTGCTGGAATGTAGGATTTCGCTGCCATATAACGGCCACGATTCTACAAGCAGTAAAGAAATCATAGCTAAAATTCCACGGCAACAACAATTTCAGAAGCATCAATCTGCTTACCATACGCCATATTGACATAAATCGCATCACACACTCGCATAAATTAACTTTGATATATCACATTCATGCATACAATTTTTGTTGTCCTTTACTTACGATTTTAGATGTACATTTCTGCTGACAAATTTCAAAATCATGTTGGCTTTATTTTGAACATCAATGAATGAAATGTCCCCCGCGAGATCCTCTTTGCCAAGCATTTACAATTTTTCCATAAATTTTTCACCGTCTTGAAAAAATTCACAGTTTGTACAGCAGCATTCATGTCAGTATATGAATTTGTAAAAGATTTCCATAAATTCCATCTGATTGTAGTTTAGTTTCTATCATGCTTAAGAGATTTAGAATGAAACGATCAAACATTCAATTCAGACTGTGAGTTGACTATATTAGCTCAGTTGGCTATCAGTTGAAATTGGTCAAACCAATCACAGTAAGACAAAAATTTAAACAAACCAATTACACGATAACAGTTGGACTCCCTTATAGGTCCGGTTACCACGCTTATCGGTTGAGATTATTCCAGATCTTCCACTGATCTGGCTATTGACCAATGAAATGGCTTAAATAAGCGTTCTTAAACTCCGTTATCGGTCAAACCAGTCGAGCCATCCCGTTTATCAGTCAGCCAGTTAATACAATTCAAGATACGTTTTTTTTCTACTGATCTGTTTAGTGAGGTGGTATTTTTATAAGTTTTTATATATAAAACAGACTTTTGACGATGAAATGGAAACGATTACAGAACAAAAATTTAACGATCAAAAAAATTGTAATCATTAAATTTGATAAATAATTTTTGAACTATAAACATATGTCGCGTGACTGATTTGACATACCCTAGATCCGCCCCTGGTGTCTTGGGTTATTATCGTAGTTGCCAAAATTTCGATAAGTCACATTTAATATAATATAACAATATAGCAATACTGAATAGCTATGGTGGATATTTGTTAGAGGCAACGAGTGGGCTACTGCAAAATTGCCAATTTACGACACCAAAGAAATATAGAAAACACAGGCGAATTTAAAATTCCGTATAACCTATGGATACCTGGAGTAAGAATCAAGCCAACTGTGAGATAAATTCTATTACTGTCACTTATCAAAAATAATCAATATGCATATAGAATGTAAAAACTTTCATGTAAATATATTGTATTTGTTTAGTGTTATAACATTATTCATCTCTTTTTCAGCTGACACGCAAATATCGCAGCTATTTGTTCAAAAGGTTTTTAAAATGTTGGAAGATAACACCCGTACCATATTGTGAAAAACATAACAGACGATTAGAAGCTGACATCTACATTCAAGAAGTACTATTTCAATTTGAAATGCTGATCCTTGCTCAGTTATATACGATCGTTTATAGCATGGACACGTTCCAGTCATATTCTTTTGATAGATCAAGTTTGCTTCAATTATTTGTTGGTCTTTTAATGGAGTTCATATTTGCTTGTCTTTCAACAAGAATTCTGATTTGCCAAGAAGAAATCAGTATCAAGCACATTTTGAAAAGACACTGGATTCGCCATGTGCTTGCAAATGGTTTGATAATGATGACAACAGTTTTTTACTTCTCTCCCATCATCATTAACATATATAAATTTCGTTTTGCAACAGCCGAAGACTTGAAATATTTGCGACATTGCACTTAACAGTTCATACAAAACGATATTCTAAACACGTCAACATTTTTACTAAATAAATTTCACTAACATTTCACTAATTGATATATTTAAACTGCACAAACAATAATTATTATCCATAAAACTTTCGATCACTGGAAAGCACTAATGGACATTTTTATCCGTTTGAAGACGAGTATAATTTAATTTTGTGGAAAACATTTTTGAAGAAAAACTACCTGAAATCAGTAGTACCACATCGTAAGCATAACAATAGATTAAAGCTGATATTCACATGCACGAAGTCCTTGTTTTTTTGAGGCAAATATATTCTTTGTTAATTGTATTTCATCCTTTATCGTGTAGACGCAATTAACGGGGATTTTGAAAAGAGTTTGAATTTTTTACAATAGATGTTCTCGAGCCACTTCTGGTCTTTGTTTTTTCTTTGTCTCATCAGACATTCAGATTAAACAACCAAAATTTAAAAATAGTCCAGACAAACATTGGGAGCGTCATGTGTTAACAGATTCCTTTGATTTTGATCACCCTAATTATATTTCTCTCCTTTCATCCTCACCAAAATTGAGTCATATTTTTGTAAATAAATTGCACATTTCACCTAACTGAATCTGTATGTATAGAAATTGATCTTTTATGCTTTAACACACCAGTGACATATTCTTCCCTCATTCTAAGCATTTCTTCATATAAGTATTTAGATATAGATAATACGAACGCATCCATCAGCATATTAGAAATTCTCATGCACTTTCTTGCACTGTAAAGTTTAAATTCAAAAACAATAAATGGGATTTCATGTCAGTAAAAAGTGATGCAGCTTTTATGCTTTGTAAATGATCACTCTTTTTCTTTATTGAGATAATTATATACTGTTTCCTAATGACATTACGTCATGTAATGTAAACATAGCAGCTCTATTATATATATATAAAAAAATTACGTTATACTTATAAATAGCTTCCAGACAGTGTATAAGCCCTGGACAGTTAGAGTGAGGAATTATTATCATCATTATTGTGAGATATTCAGTAATACGAAGGATACCAAACGCTCGTGATATTTGGCTCTTTGTTTTTGGCCGTATCGTCATGAGGATTTGAGGACAAAGATAAGTTGAGGAAATTTTCTGGGAAAAAAAGCAATATATGTGATTGTCGTAGACAGATAAGTCACTACTATCCTTTTATTTCTTTTATTAGATTTCTTCATTTAATAAATAATATAAAATAATTAAAATCTCCTGCTCTTAAACGCGAACAATTGCCGAAACATGCAAATAACGAAGGAGTTAGTCCGGGTGTAGCAAATTTAAGGATGGGCATGTTACTCCTTCGTTTCTGCTGATAGCAAGTAAAATTACAATTAAACTTCGACTTATGGTAAGTCTCGATTAATTTTTAAGTTCTAACCTTCATCAGCTACGTCAGTTATATGAGATTTTGAAGTTCGGTGATCGTAAGTAGAAAACATATTGTCCAGGCATACTAACACAACAAATGATATATTCTTGAATAACATCTAAGCTAGAAGGAAACTAAGAGAAATCAACAAAAAACTTTTTCGGTGCAAATACTACTTTGTTAGTGTTCCTAGCTTCAATTCCTGTCAGTTTGGAATGCTTGCACTTTCGTACTTCCTATTTTGTCTTTTGATATTTGTTTGTGGTAATATTTTGCAAAGGTGCCAGCGTTCGACCAGCCCGCAGAGTTCATTATTTCGGATAGCTTTTTCCCCGTCACAAATCCATGTGAGGTTGCAGCTGCTCTGCTACTATGCGGTGTGTAGTTCTTCGAGTTTATTCTAGCAGCCTGAAGACTCCCTTAATCCAACGTGCAACCGTATCTTTAGAGGCTGGATTATGTAGTCTTATATAGCTAATCAATAGTGGTGAGCTACTTCCACGTATCTCGGCCGTACGCAAAATGTATGATTCTAAATGCTGTATAATACAAAGACCCTTGTCAGTGTAGGTTATTAGTTTGATTAGTTTCTGAATGGTTCCCGGTCTTGTGTGTTTTGATTTACTTTCAATGATGAACACATATTTTTTCTGGTAGTTTTTATATCAAGCTTATGAATAGTCTAAAACCTTTGTCCCGTTATAAGTGCCAAAAACCTAACAACTTTATGAGTTAGTTGTTTGAGTGATAATTCTTGGGTCAGGGAAATCGATTTCAGGTAGTTTAAGAACTTCCCAACGTCCCATATTTCTTTATATTTCGGCAACACTGGTTTAATTTCTAACACGCCTTTAACAAATTGTCGCACCAGCCCAATTTTCTCCAAATGATCTCCCATCAATGGTTGCAATTATTAACGACAAAACTGATCTTGCAGTGTTGATTGCACTGTAACAAAGACCTTTTTTAAACAATTGGGCGAGGAAATCGATCCCTTGTTCTAACGTTGCATTGAAGCAGATAATGTGTCTTTCTTCGCATAATCTCTTCCACTTGGAGAGATATGTGTAATATTGTTTTCTGGTACCATCCCTCCAACATGCAATGATGACGTCTTTTGCTGTGGTTGAGATGTTGTAACGTTCTATCTTCATCCTGATAATAGAAATACTAGCAAACGCAGTTTCTCGTAAAAGGGATATTGTTCCTCAAGCGAGGTCGATAAGAAGAGGCAGTCCTTTCTTGTTGAAGAGTTATTGGTCTGCCCATGCATACTTCCGTAGCCTTGGCGTACCAAATTCGAGTAGGCCAATCTGGTAGAACGCAAACTCCGATGGCCTTAATTGTCCTCTATAATTTTTTTAACACAATTGATATGACACTAAAGGGTTGAAACGTAATTGCAAGTATTATTTCAACTTCCGGGTCTAACTTCAGTGATGCAAACCGTCTGAGCTATTTGAAAATTCTAGTGGCAAATATATCTAATTTAGATGTGAATTTTTGCTTCGCTAAGGACATTTGTAAATCAATAGAGTTCAACATCCACTCTGCACCTACATTAACATTTCTGGATTCTTTTTCGGCTCGTATATTAGTTGTCCCTGGGATGTGTGCTGCTGAAATTCAGAGGTTTCGTGTAATGCCCCACTCTCAAATATTTTTACCTATGTTGTTGTAGACCTCACAGTGACATGTGCCCATATGGTTTATGGTCGGGTTACTAGTGTAAAACTGTCCTGCTGTTAAGTTTGTTTGAAATAATGTAAAAAGCGAATAGGCGACCTAATTGCAGGGAGCCTCCTTAAAATAATAAAATTAAAATTTAGAGCTACATAAATATATTCAAATTTTACAGATAACTTCCTCTTGAATAAATTAAAGACTGCAAATAAGTAAATTACAAATTACAAATAAGTTCATTTATCCGTATCTCGAGGGAATCTTAACTCCAAGGTGTCAGTGCTGCGTCCCTAAGATAAAAAATAATATACAAGTAAAAAGTGTATAGTGGAAGCGCTTTTAGTACGCAAACTTATTTTCTTTAGGAAAGTTGCTTTAACAAGACAGGCTTGTTCTAGATAGCATCTTCGTTGAAATTAGCTAGTACACTTGGTAACAAACATCTGCAAAAACATAATCAGTTGTCTTAACACTTCAGCACGTATGAAACTGCGACGTAAATTTTTTCAGGTTGGTATAGTCCTGAGAAGGACTGATTTTGTTGTTGTTGATTGACGTTTTGACAACCTTAGCGGTAGTCATCTTCAGAGTCAAATGAGGAGTAAGCGTCAGATTAGTCGTATTTGTTATCTGGTTCTTACGTCATTGTATTGTGTGTACAGGAAATGTGTGGGTGTCAATTGTGTATTGTCATGATTTGTGTTATTTAACTAAATTTAATATAGTGCAGTGCTTGTGATGATGGCCTATGTTTTGAATACCAACTGCAAGGGCATATTCTTTTGCTTTGTTCTTTACCTGTAATTTAATTTTGAATAGACCGTCGTCTGAATCAGTATGTAAAACACCATTACATCCTGTTTAAAGCTTACTTGAGTGTGCTCTGTTGTGTGTGAATCAAAGAAGCACTTGCAAGTCATTCAACTTCTGCGAAGAAAAATTTACTTGTAAGTTTAACGAAAAGAAAATATCCAGCAAACTTGGTGACATGATAAACGACGCTGGAAACAATTATTAGGAGAAAATACCTGTATGTTTGTTAACTGAGTTTTTTAAGTCACCAAACTCAGCTGTACTCTCGCATGTCTTGCTGAAATATATGATGAAAGACTTTGTGCATGCTGGCTACACTTGCATTTTTTCAATTTATAAATAATTCTTGTATAGACAATTTTTTAAATGCAAGAAAGTAGCTTTTTTCTGGCTTATAAAAAATGATGTTTGATAAAAAGGATTAGTTTGAACAGTTTCTGCGATGAAAATTCGATTTTAAAAGAGTATTGCTCACCAATTTATATTAAATATCGTTAAAAACTGTTTATTTATTTAGGTTAGAGCGTTTTTATATCCAAGTGTGAACACAGTTAATGAAGAATTCAGTAAACGTAATAAAATATATTTAATCGGTTATTTTAATTAATTTCTTGCCAAGCAGATACATGCAGGTAAATAGACATTAAATAATTTAACGAAGGAAGAATTTAATGCAAATCATACATTCCGAAAATTAGGAAATAGAGTGATAAAAGTTTTCGCAAAATCAATTTCTTTGTATGTTTTCAACACATTATAGATCGGCGCATTTGAGCTTCCCTACTCAAGTTAATTTTAAAAACTTTTAATAATCACACTATCAACACAATTCAGGGGCTACACATGATTGATAAGTGGGGGAGGCAATATTTATAGATTGGTCTGTTTTAATCTATTTAAATCCATACCCACAATTGATTTCAATAGAAGCTACAAAGGTAAAACATGCATATATATGAATCTTTGCCCCCCCCCCCAAAAAAAAAAATACAATAAAATTTTTCAGCATATAAGAATAGACTATTTATCAGGTGCAATGATCCATTTTTAATATTTTTAAACTTGGTACACAATACGAAATGTAAAAAATGAGAGATGGCATTTCCTACCAATCATCTTGCAAACAAAGGCTTACCTTTACAGAAATATCTTGTTATTTGTTGCAAAGCCAATTTTTAACATCGAGGGTCGTGGAAAAACTAAAAAACAAGGCCACAGTACCTATATCCTTGAAAACCGCATTACCAAACACTACTTGTACTTATCTGGACAGGATTAAGATTGCGAAAGAGAGATAAATGGATCAAATCTTGTAGTGGGCACTATAAACAAGACGGACAATCGTGTGCAGTGGAGACTTAAACATCATAAATATAATGTCTACTTGATTCAAAGTAATGTGAATTTTCCATACATTTTGAGTACAGGAGAAAAACCGGGCTCAGGAGAATCTGATTGTTTGGGAAATCCGAAATGTGTTTTTTCCGATGCTAACTGTGATAACCGTGCACTTTGGGAGATTAACTGAATTTTAAAAACATACTCTCCAGCTTTTTTATGCAGAACTTCATGTAGTACAATATCCTTGGAACATCATTTTTAGTTGATTGAATAAATCTTCCAAAGTAATTTTGACATTGCAAGACTTTTACGACAATTGTAAATATCAACAAAATTTTATCGCAGCTATTACCAGATACGAGCCGTCTATAACAAAAAAAAATCAATTTGTGTTGTGTACTCCCAAGTGTCAGAGATATTTCCCCATAATAATGAGCAAGGAAAACGTTTTGGCAAAAGGTTTTGCAAAACTTAAGCTATTTGCGCTAACCATTTTTGCTAATTGCCTAAATTTTCAAAACGATTTGCATACTATTATTCAATAAAGCCAGTTCTTCTGTCCATATATTTG